ATTTGGGGGGGAGCACCACGTGCAACGAACTGATCCTGTCCCGAGACACTTGGGGGAAACATCATCGTCGCCGTCGTCGTCGTCGTGAACCTGTTGCCCCCTTTCCATGCCTTACAATTCTAAATCAAAACATCCTCCTCCTCCTGACCTGTAGCTATGCTGCTACTGCGCTATGTTGTGTCGGGGTGAGCTTATTCGTCGTTCACCTTCGGCCCGCTATGTAGTGTGGAGTGCCTAGGCGAGCCCCAAGCGGTGTCCCCAAATGGGGGTCTCGCTTGGCCAGTGGTATTCCCCTGCAGGGCCCCAAAGACTATCGTGCCCCAAAGTGGTTCTCGAACACCTGATCCGTTTTTTGTTTTCCCTTGAGGGCCCTCAGGGTGCGCTCGCTCGAGGCTGTGGTACTTCATCGGATCATCGGTGCTGCTCTGCTCTGCTCCCCCCCCTCGCTCGAGAGATCAAGGGAAGGGGTCATATTTCGTGCCGCGGCGTCGAGCCAGCTGCCCAGATCTGCGCGGAGCGAAAGCAGGAGCGGCAGAGCCGGGCAAACGACGCGGGGGCGAGGCCTGGCCCTGGGGGTGCAATGCCCAGGCCTGCGCCGCAGCATTCCTAGGTCCCTCTCCTCCTCCTCCTCCTCCTCCTCCTCCTGATCCTCCTCCCCCATCCTCCTGATCCTCCTCCTCCTCCTCCTGATCCTCCTCCTCCTGATCCTCCTCCTCCTCCTCCTGATCCTCCTCCTCCTGATCCTCCTGATCCTCCTCCTGATCCTCCTCCTCCTCCTGATCCTCCAAGCCTGCGCCGCGCGGGGAGGAGGAGATTCGAACGGGGAGGTCGGCTGACCCTGGGGGTGCAACGCCGAGCAGGAAGAGAGCGAGGGTTGGAGCCGACACTGGGGGGCGCAAAGCCCCGCGGAACGGAAAAAACGTCAAACGGAGAGCGGCTGGCCCGAACGGATCAACAAGAAACGGGCTTTCGAGTGGGCCTGGGCCTCCTCCTCCTCCTCCTCCACCTTGCCCTCCTCCTACTTATCCTCCTCCTCCTCCCCCTCTTCCTCCCCCTCCTCCTCCTCCTCCACCTCTTCCTCCTCCTCTTCCTCCTCCCCATCTCCCCCGTCCTCCTCCCCCTCCTCATCCTCCTCCTCCTCCTCCTCCTCCTCCTCCTCCTCCGCCTCCTCCGCCTAGCGACGATGACGGTGACGGCGCGCTTTCTCAACGGAGGCTCCCACGGGCGGGCCCCGCGACCGTGAAAACAAAAACGACCCGGGGAATCCTCGAGTCCTTCGCTTCCCCTCCCCAGCCCTCCCCCTCCGGGCGCGGCCCTCGAGTCGCCCGCGGGCGCCGGCGCCCCGCAGCTGGCGCTCTGCACAGCCGGTCTTCGGGGTTTATAGGGGCGCCCCGCCTTCCCCTCCCCCGAGGCGCTCGGTGTCACAGGGGTGCTAAGACCCAGCACGACCACACCCCAGCACGACCACACCCCAGCACGACCCCACCCCAGCACGACCACACCCCAGCACGACCACACCCCAGCACGACAAGCACGACCACACCCCAACACTACCCCACCCCAGCACGACCCCACCCCAGCACGACCACACCCCAGCACGACCACACCCCAGCAGGACCCCACCCCAGCACGACCCCACCCCAGCACGGCCCCACCCCAGCAAGACCACACCCCAGCACGACCACACCCCAGCACGACCTCACCACAGCACGACCACCCCCCAGCACGATCACGCCCCAGCACGACCACGCCCCAGCACGACCACTCCCCAGCACGACCACCTCCCAGCACGACCACGACGACGACGACGACGACGACGACGACGACGACGACGACGACGACGACGACGACGACGACGACGACGACGACGACTACGAGGGGGATCCGCCCAGGGGGCGGCGACAGGCAACCCCTCAACCGATGCAGCCACGGACTCCCTGTGTGTTTGATGAGTGGCGCCCGTACCGTTGCGTGCGTTACGCGTCTCCTCGTGGTTGTCCTGGTTGAGTGGTTGCCTGTCGTTGCTCGCGGTGCTAAATCACAGGGTGCGGACCACCCCAGCACGACCTCACCACAGCACGACCGCACCCCAGCACGACCACGCCCCAGCACGACCACGCCCCAGCACGACCACGCCCCAGCACGACCACCCCCCAGCACGACCACCCCCCCAGCACGACCACACCCCAGCAAGACCACACCCCAGCACGACCACACCCTGTCGCACCCCCGTGGAATGTTTCGTGGGGTGTCTCGTGGAATGTTTCGTGGGGTGTCTCGTGGAATGTTTCGTAGGGTGTCTCGTGGAATGTTTCGCGGGGTGTCTCGTGGAACGTTTCGCGAGGTGTCTCGTGGAACGTTTCGCGAGGTGTCTCGTGGGATGTTTCGCGGGGTGTCTCGTGGGATGTTTTGTGAGGTGTCGCCCAGTTGGGTATCGTGAAAAAGTGACCATGCTGCGCATGTCTATATCCCTTTCCGGGTTCGTGGGTCCATCATGTTTCTCCGGCGCCCTCGAGAGCCCCAGGACAGTGAAGACGACAGTGTCACTGAGTGCTGTTGTCTCCGCCCCCTTGTTCAACGTCGGATCGACGCCTCGTGCCCTAAGATGTCCCACAGACAGCCCCAATATCGCACAGGATGGCACCACGACGCCCCAGGAGAGGCCATCACGAGTACCGAAAGTACCTCAAGAAAGTCAGACATTTTCAGGAGAGCCCCAGGATGACGCAGGATAACCCCGAGAGCCTTCTAAGGAAAGCCCAGGAATGCTTCAAAGGGCCCAAGTGGCCCTAAAAGGAGACCCACAGTGGATTGTGGCGATTCCAAGCGCTCGTCAAGAGGCACCCAGTGCCTCCTACGGAGCCATGTTGGCTCAAGACATTCTGGATTCAGCTGTTCCCGGAAAGGGCTTAAGCCCAGGGTTCTCTTTTAGTTTGTAAACTAGTCCCCCGGTGCCTGCTTGAAGGAGGCCGGCGAATTTTTCCCTGATAAATAACGAGGTCGAAGGAGGCCGGCGAATTTTTCCATGATAAATAACGAGCCCGAGAATTAAAATTTGAGGATGTCTCGAGCGAAACGCTTGTTTTTGAGCGCCGGCGAATTAAAATTTGAGGATGTCTCGAGCGAAACGCTTGTTTTTGAGGCCGGCGAATTATAATTTGAGGATGTCTCGAGCGAAACGCTACGGCCCCACCCCAGCAAGACCACACCCCAGCACGACCACACCCCAGCACGACCTCACCACAGCACGACCACTCCCCAGCACGACCCCACCCCAGCACGACCACGCCCCAGCACGACCACACCCCAGCACGATCACACCCCAGAACGACCACACCCCAGCACGACCCCACCCAAGCACGACCCCACCCAAGCACGCCGGAAAGGGCAAGAGCCCAGGGTTCTCTTTTAGTTTGTAAACTAGTCCCCCGGTGCCTGCTTGAAGGAGGCCGGCGAATTTTTCCCTGATATTTTTGTACGATTTCCTGGAATTTTGGCAGGATGTCTCGAGCGAAATGCACGACCCCACCCTAGCACGACCATACCCCAGCACGACCACACCCCAGCACGACCAGACCCCAGCACGACCCCACCCCAGCACGACCCCAACCCAGCACGACCATACCCCAGCACGACCACACCCCAGCACGACCCGACCCCAGCACGACCCTACCCCAGCAAGACCACACCCCAGCACGACCACACCCCAGCACGACCACACCCCAGCACGACCCCACCCCAGCACGACCACGCCCCAGCACGACCACGCCCCAGCACGACCACCTCCCAGCACGACCACCCCCCCAGCACGACCACTCCCCAGCACGACCACCCCCCAGCACGACCACACCCCAGCACGACCACACCCCAGCACGACCACGCCCCAGCACGACCCCACCCCAGCACGACCCCACCCGAGCACGACCACACCCCAGCACGACCACACCCCAGCACGACCACACCCCAGCACGACCACACCCCAGCACGACCCGATCGATAAATCACCGGGTGCGGAGCACCCCAGCACGAACCCACCCCAGCACGACCCCACCCCAGCACGACCCCACCCCAGCACGACCACGCCCCAGCATGACCACACCCCAGCACGACCACACCCCAGCACGACCACTCCCCAGCACGACCCCACCCCAGCACGACCCCACCCTAGCACGACCACACCCCAGCACGTCCACACCCCAGCACGACCCCACCCCAGCACGATCACACCCCAGCACGACCCCACCCCAGCACGACCATTCCCAGCACCGACCTCACCCCAGCACGACCCGACCCGCCAGACCCTAACCCAGCAGACCACACCCCACGCACGACCACACCCCAGCACGACACACCCCAGCACGACCCCTACCCCAGCACGACACGCTCCCCAGCACGACCTCGCCAGCACGGACCACGGCCCCCAGCACGACCACCCCCCAGCACGACCACTCCCCCAGCACGACCACTCCCCAGCACGACCCCACCCCAGCACGACCCCACCCTAGCACGACCACACCCCAGCACGAACACACCCCAGCACGACCCCACCCCAGCACGATCACACCCCAGCACGACCCCACCCCAGCAAGACCACACCCCAGCACGACCGCACCCCAGCACGACCTTACCACAGCACGACCACACCCCCGCACGACCACCCCAGCACGACCACGCCCCAGCACGACCACGCCCCAGCACGACCACGCCCCAGCACGACCACGCCCCAGCACGACCACCCCCCAGCACGACCACCCCCCCAGCACGACCACCCCCCAGCACGACCACCCCCCAGCACGACCACACCCCAGCACGACCACTCCCCAGCACGACCACACCGCCTTGGTTGAGTGGTTGCCTGTCGTCGTGGAATGTTTCGTGGGGTGTCTCGTGGAATGTTTCGCGGGGTGTCTCCTGGAATGTTTCGTGAGGTGTCTCGCGGAATGTTTCGTGAGGTGTCTCGTGGGATGTTTCGTGAGGTGTCTCGTGGGATGTTTCGTGAGGTGTTGCCCCGTTGGGTATCGTGAAAACGTGCCCATGCTCCACATGTCTATATCCCTTTCCGGGTTCGTGGGTCCATCATGTTTTTTGCGCACCAGAGTGTCAGTCATTCGCGGAATGTGGGCGCCTATGATCATCAAGGTGGCCTTGTTGTGGATGCTATTGCACGATGCTTTGGTGGCCGCGGAGCATGACCTGACAATGAATTTCAAGGACATGAATACAATTAAGGACATGCGGAACGAATTCTGCGGTCCAGTGGCGAGCATACACAACGGGACCTTGAAACTCAGGGATGCCTTGAAGGGCAGGCACATTAACATGGTCACTACCCGGGACCACCTCCCATGGTACGACGAACCGGAGAACAACACAGACCCAACGCGAGCTAAAGGTTTCCACAAAGAATTAGCCGACACGGTGGCAAGTCGGGGGGGGTTCACCTACACATTGTACTCAGTCTCGACTTCATCTTTCACTGGCATGAGTTGGTCGGAGTATCTCGCCAGCAGTTTGGAGAAGTTTGACGTGAACCTCGATAATTGGGCCGACATCCCTGACCGGGCGTCTGCGGGCATCCGAACGCCATACGGTTACATAGACATGAGCATCACGCCCGTTACGTACGGCACCGTTCAGAGCCCCAGTTTCTGGGAGAAGCTGAAGACTTTCAGCGTTCCGCTGGAAGGACCTCTGGGGTCTCTTCCTCGTTATCGCCTTGTTGACATCCTTGGCCTACTTCTTCCTGGAGAGGGACGAATCGGGCGATGGGTGGACTGCAGAGGATCCGGATGGATACAAGATTGAGCAGAGCATCGTAATGGGCTTGACAACCCTGACGCAGGTTGGGACTTTCACTCCGCGTACGATGGCAGGGAAGGTCTTGATGTTGACCTTCACGTTCTTCGTCATGATTTTATTGGCTGCGTACACAGCCAATCTCGCGCAGTGTTGGTGGCAGCAGATGAGGTCCGCGCGTGCGAAACTTTACAAGAGTGCACGAGAGGGAGACGTAGGTTGTGCGTAACTGAAGGCATCCACGTGGACTACCTGAAAGAAGCTCATCACAAGCTGTACACACACAACATGCTAGTGGCTTCCGACCACGACCTCAAAATGAAGAACTTACTTGATGGCAAGTGTGCTGCTGCCCTTGATTCAGTTTCCGAATACCGTCTGGCAAAGGAAGACGACAAGCTAAACCCTGGTTGCACGCTGAGATCAGTCGGCGAATTCCCTCTGGCGACTTTCAAAGGTGGCTGGATGGTCAAGAGCAACGATTTTGGCAAAAAGTGCACTGCACTTTTGAGGGATTCCCTCGCCGATCTTTTCCTCGAGCTGGAAAAGGACGGTCAGATCGCGGACCTCGAGGCAAAATTCTACAGAGGGTCGATGGTGGAAGGATGCGACGAGAATGGTAATCCAGACTCGAAGTTTTCTGAGACGGACAGTTTCCCGATCGAGAGCATGCTTGGGCCTATCTTCATCCACTTGTTTGGCGCCATCCTCGCGTTTATATTGTATTTCCGCCGCAAAGCAAAGAAGGAATCGCACCCTGTGGCGAATCAGATCCCCAATGACGCCTGCAGTGACATTCGCCCGCTGAACGGCGCTGACGCCAGTGACATTAGCTCGCTGACAGCCGAGATCGGTGCTTTAAACGCAAAGCTGAGCCACCTGTTCGAGAAGCTCAGCTAATCGATGCCCTTCAAGATCTCCCACAGGACGGGGGCAGATGACAATCGGACAGCGCTTGCTGGCTTTGAGCGTCGCGCCGTCTCTTCCCTCCCCTGTCGCCCTGCGCCTCCCCCCCGCCAGGATGCCCTCGGGCGGCGAAGTGCCCCCTCCGTGGCCTGCTGCCGGCCACCGGCTGCCTCGAGTGTGGAGTTGTCCGCTCCTGGCGCTGCCTCTGGCTCGCTCACTCGGCTGGTCGGCGCGCCGCGGGCCGACCAGCGCTCGTGTAGTCTTGCTCATTCATCCTCCTCGTCTTGCACCTCCCCTCCTCTTACTCTTGGTTCTCCCGCAACCTTGTCGTCTTCTTCGCAGTTGTTCGTCTCCTGCGGATTGTATCTCGCTCTCCTCCCTTCGATCGTCTTCTTATTGTCTTCTTTCTCGTACTCTTCCTACACCGCACTCCCCCATATCTTCGAGATCATCCTTCCCACTTCAAGTCACTATTCAACCCTCTTCCACCTCCTTCGATTCGTCGTTCTCCTGCATCTTCTTCTTCTCGATTATCGTGCTCCTGCTTCTCCGCAATCCCCCATCTCCCAGGACGGCCCAGGACGCGCCTAATAGAGGCCCCGAGGGCTCCCGGACGGCTCCGGAGGCCGCCAGGACCGGCTCAAGACCGCCCAAGATGCCCCGAGGGCGCTCCAGAACGCGTCTAGATGGCCTCAAGGAGGGCCAACAGGCCCCGATGACACGCCAAGGGGGCTCCAAGAGGCCCCCCGAGAGGGCTTTTCAGAACACCTAAACTTTTAGCCTGTTCGCTTCCTCGGATTTCGCAGTTTCCGAAACAGCCCAAGGAGGCTTCAAATCAGTTCAACAGAGCCCCAAAGCAAGCCCAGAGGGCCCCAAGACGGTCCCAGGGGCGCCCAAGATGGCCCAACTGAGCCCCAAGAGCTCCACGGGAGGCCCAAGACGGACCCACGAGCTTGCAACAGGGGTCGTGGGGCACTGCCTTAGGGACTGTGGCTCCCAACATGCAGCCAAGACGCTCCCAAGAAGCCCCCGAGCGGCCCCCAAGGAACCCCCCCAAGAAACCCCCGACGGCCCCCAAGAGGTCTGAGAGGCTTCCCGCACATCCCAACAGGGCTCCAAGAGGCTCCCCGAGACGGCCCCAGAAGGCCAAACTCTTCGCATTTCTTTCGAAAGCGTGAATTGTCAGTATGTTCGCTTCCTCGGAGTTCACAGCGCTCGAAACGGCCCAAGCAGGCTTCAAGACAGCTCAACAGAGCCTCAAACCGAGCCCAGAGGGCCCCAAGACGGTCCCAGGGGCGCCCAAGATGGCCCAACTGAGCCCCAAGAGCTCCACGGGAGGCCCAAGACGGACCCACGAGGGCGCCAAGAGGGGTCGATGGGCACTATCATGGGGAGAGTGGCTCCCAACATGCCCCCGAGACTTTCCGGGAGGCCCCCAAGGACGCTGCCACGAAGCCCGTAGAAGCTCCCGAGTGGCCCCCAAGAGGCACCGAGAGGCCCCCAAGAGGCTTTGCAGAGGCTTCAAGAGGCCCCTGATAATCACGTCGCGTGGTCCTCAGAGGCCTCCAAGACGCCCGGGCCGACATGGGCGGGGCGGCGGAATGAAAACCTTGTCTCCGGGGTCGTCGGTGGATCGGGGCACGATCTGTGTGAGGAGCGAGTCGTAATATGCGGGGAGACGGTATGCGAACTCTCACAATAGAGCCGTACGTGGAACGAAATCCTTTGGGGCACGATCCGTGTGAAGGGTATGCCGCGATAGGCGGAGGGGCGCCGTGCGTATTCTGCCCCTGGAACGCTCGTGGAGCTCCAGGGGGGGGGGGGGGGGCACGCTCCATATGAGGGGCCGCCGCCGTCTTCGTCGTCGTCGTCGTCATCGTCGTCGTCCGTTGGCCGATTCTGCGCGGATCTCGGCTGGGCGGGAGGGCCGCCGTTATCTCAGCTCGCTCTTCTCTTCCTTCTCCCCCTGCGACGGCGAGGAGGAGGATGAGGACGACGAGTAGGACGATGAGGACGAGGAGGAGGGATACTGGGGCTGGAATAGGGAGGAAGCGGAGGAGGAGGAGGAGGAAGAGGATGAAGAGGATGAGGAAAACGAAGAAAAATGACGAGGATCGGAAACCGAACGATGAGGAGGAGGAGGAGGAGGAGGAGGAAAACGAAGAAGGAAAACGAAAAAGGAGGAACACGAAGAGGAGGAGGGGGGCGAAGAGGAGGATCTGGAGGAGGAGGAGGAGGAGGAGGAGGAGGAGGAGGAGGAGGAGGAGGGGGGGGAGGAGGAGGAGGACGAAGATGAGGAGAATGAGGGGGAGCAGGAGGAGGAGGAGGAGGAGGAGGAGGAGGAGGAGGGGGAGGAGGGGGGAGCAGGACGAGGGGCAGGACACCGAGAACATGTCTCTCTCTCTCTATGTATGTATGTATGTATGTGTATATATATACAAGTGGCACGTGTGTGCCCAGGCTCATACAACAAGCTGAAGGGGCGTTTGAAGCAGGAGTGACATGCAACAGCGAAGTCGCACTCGAGCGCAAGTGGGGTTGCCACACCTTGCGATGTGTGTACCAGGGCCCCCCAGGAAGCCTCAGGAGGCCCGACTTGGATACCAGGAGAGGCTCCAGGAGGCCCCAGGATTGTGAGTGTTGTGTGTGTGTGTGTGTGTGATGTGTGCTTTGTGTGGTGCGTGCTTTTTGCGTGTGGTCGGTGTTGTGTGTGTATGTTATGTTTGTCTAGCGTGTGATGTGTTGGGCGTGATTTGTGTCTCTGTGTGTGCATGTAGTTCTGAAGCCCCAGGAGGCCCCAGGAGGCCCCAGGCGGCCTCAGCAGGCCCAGGAGAACTCCAGGAGGCTCCGAGGCGGGGTCTGGGGTACCAGAAGGTCCAGAAAGCCCCAGGAGGCCCCAGGAGGTTCCAGGAGGCCCCCAGGAGGCTCCGAGGAGGGGTCTGGGGCTCGATTTTGGGAGGATGTCTCAGGCGAAACCGCCATTCTCTGAGAATCGGAGTCAAAATCATTGAAATTACCATGTGTTTTTGAAGGTGTTATGATAAAACGTTGGAAATCCTATGTGTTTTGGGACCCTGACGTCACGATCTGCGTGAGGGGTGCCACCGATTTTCAGAATTTCGAGGATGTCCCGAGCGAACCGGCCAGAAAAATCGCGAACGACGGACGCATTAATCGCCTCTGAGCTCTACTCCCTCGGAGAGGTGCGTATGAGAATATATATACATACCGGGGAACGGGACCTGGGCCCGCCAGATTGGTGCCTCTGACCCCCATGGGGGCCACGGGGCTCATTTTCCCATGTGTTTTTACATGGTTTCCGCGTCCTGGGCCTCGGAGGCCGCCGCCTCCGACCCCCCATGGGAGGACGGGGCGGCCGGGGAGGTCCAAAATAGTCCAGGAGGGCCTCCAGAGGTTCACAAGACGGCCCAAGCGGGCCCCGAGTCGCCGAAAGACCGCTCCAGGACGCCCAAGATAGGCCCGAGACGGCCCGAGAGGCCCCCCAAGGCACTCCACGACGCTTCAAGACGCCTCTCCAGAGCGCTTCAAGAGGCCGAAATCGTTAATTTTACAATGGTTTTCGAACGATTTTGGCCTTCCAGCTTTTTCGGCTGTCCGACGTTCCAAGACAGCTCAATAGGCCCCCAAAAGCGCCCCAAGACGGCCCAAGAGGGCCCCAAGACGGCCCCAGAGTCGCCCAAGACAGCCCATCAGAGCCCACAGACGGCCCCAAGATGCGCCCAAGAGGGGGACCACGACTCCAAAATTCGACCCTCCCCTTGACGAGTGCCCCAGGAGGCCCCAAGGAGCCCCCAAGAGGCCCCAGGAGGCCCCCAAAAGGCACCCAGGAAGCCCAAACGAGGCCTAAAGAGGCCACAAAACAGCTCCGAGGAGGCCCCACAACGGTCCCATAACGGCTGCCGAGAAGCTGCGAAACTGCCTTCACGACGTCCCCGACAGGCCGACCACGAGATCCAAACCAACACCCATGAGGCCTCTGACCCACCACCCAGGGCACGGTGGCGGGAGCAGTGACAGCACTTGTGCACAGCATGTTCCGGCGGGAGCCTTCCGGAACACGCTGCAGGAGGAGGAGGAAGATC